TAAACTGATAGAGCCCCCAGTGGACAGCCCATTACCCGGCCAGCGTGGTGTATAAACTGATAGAGCCCCCTAGTGGACAGCCCATTACCCGGCCAACATGGTGTACAGCAGGATCCCCAGACTCCACACATCACAGGCTGCATCGTAGCCTTGCCGCTTTAGGACCTAGAGGGGAGAAACAAAAGTCGGGTAAGTTCTTCCCTAAGAAAACTCCTGCTGAGGACAGTTTTGCCAATGGAATACAGGTACGGCGGGTTGGGCGAAGGGACGGGCACAGCTCTGACTCCTGTGAGCCTGCTCCATAAACCAACAACCACGCCAGGATCCCTGAAGACTGACACACACGAGGAGCAGAGCTCCTGCTGGGGACAGGCCAGATGGAGGACATGGTGGCCCTTCAGCCTCTAAGGCAGAAAAACTAACTTGTCACAGGCTCACGTACTTTACCAGAGGACAGCCTGCCATGAGTTCCTAGTTTAGTAACCAGAAGAAAAGGTGCCTGGGTGGCGTGAGTGGTTTCCACTCAGCTACTAACCTAAAGTTGCCACAGAAGAAAAGCCTGGTGATCCACTTCCAAAAGGCCACAGCCAAGAAAACCCTATGGGGCTCTACACATATGGGGTTGTCATGAGTCAGAATCAACTCAACAACAATTGTTTTTTTTTTAAATGGTATACAGAAAGTGGCACAGATGCACAGGGTGGACTGTGGGTGGCTGGATTCCACGTTAATTGTGGAGCCAGGAGAGCAAGGATCCCATCTCGTGCATATCTACATCCCTGACCCTGAGCGCGGTGCTGCAATTCGGAAGGCGTTCAGCAAACACATGTCTGCATCTCTGACCCTGAGTGCGGTGCTGCAATTTGGCAGGCGTTCAGCAGACACGTCTGCATCTCTGACCCTGAGCGCGGTGCTGCAATACGGCAGGCGTTCAGCAAACACGTCTCCATCTCTGTATCCTGGACCCTGAGCATGGTGCTGCAATATGGCAGGCGTTCAGCAGACACGTCTGCATCTCTGACCCTGAGCACAGTGCTGCAATACGGCAGGCATTCAGCAAACACATGTCTGCATCTCTGCAT